GGAAGCTTCCTGATCGCTTTCTAACTGAAGGTCAGGCTTTTAGGAAACTCAAGAGCCGTTATGTAGGGAAGTGGCTGTCTCGTGGCCCTGATAGAATCCATTAACATCTTTCTCCAGGAAAAGCTGTAATCGTGAGCTATATGTAATGGATATTGATTGCTAAGAAAAGAAGATACATATAACTTTAAACTCAGGGGTCTCTAGGGACAAAAGACATAGAAGTGGGCCTTCAGGCTCACAGGAGTGCTGGCTGGGAAGAAATTGTAGCACAGCTGTCTTAGGAAGCTTAGATAAGTGGATTCAAAGGCCAGTGCTTCTTGCTCAAGGATACCAGCGATTTGCTCCAAGGAGAACAAATATAACATTTATTGAGTACACGCTATTTGTCAGGTTTTATTCTAATCACTTCATGTGTATTATTTCACTTAACTTAAAATAACTCTGAGTTAACTACTATTATTATCCTCACTTTACAGTTTGAGAAAATCAAGGTCAAAAGTCCAACAATTGGCCAAAAGAGCAACAGCCAATTAAGTACCATAGTCAAGATATCAACCCAGGAAGTCTAACTACAAGGAGTATGCTTTTAATCACTATTGTGCTGCTGGTATGAATATAATTTTGATAGAGAAAAAGCACAGGCCTCCCCCAGATTCAGACTTGTGTAAGGGAAATTAATATGTCTCACTCCCATTATCATTTTCCACCCACCAAACTTCCCAGACTTCACAGCCACAGTAACAATGACACGTGGGTTTACACAGCAAGGAAAGAAAAGGGAAGCTAGGCAGCAGTCACCTCATTTAGCCAGACCCTGGTTGAGATACTGTTGTCCACCGTAGAGCTGTCTTGGGGCTGCACCTGAGACTTGAACACTTTCTGCTGTTCTCCTGGCCACTCCCTAGGGGGTGCTAGTGATCCTGCAATCTTTTCTGGATTTTACAACTACTTCAGGTTCTGGAAGATGCTTTCTCAAGAGAACAGGGCTCGGCCTGGGTGATGTTTAGCATGCCTGGGAAGAGTCTCTGTTGCTGCCTCCACCACCTGTGTGCAGGGAAGGAAAACCAACAGAATGATTGACACTTGGCAGCAGCTGGTGGGCCAGCAGGTGGCAGGAGTCAATAAAGGGCAGAGCCTTCTGATGAAACCTTCTTCCTTTAATAAAGCGAAGAATGCACCAGGTGAGTGGTCCCTCTTAATGGGTAGGGACAGAGAGAGGATCTGCACTGCACCATCTAGACTCCAGGCACCTGCCAGACCTTCACACATTTCTCGTTTGATACCCCATGCAAAGCTCTGTGATAAGTATTATTTTACAAACAAGGAAACTGAGGTTAGAAGTCCCCAGACACACAGCTGTAAACGGCAAAACAGAAATCTGAGCATAGGCCTCAGATCAAAGCTGTCATCTGAACTGTTACCCACTCCAGCTTTGAGGCTGACTTATCCCACACCAATGTGACGACGACATCACAGGGGATCACCGGATAATCTAAGAGTCTATTCCCGGGAAAGGCGACTTTGATCTAGAAAGGGGCTGGCCAGCAAAAAGCAGTGAGTAGGGCTTCTGCCAACCCAGCCCAGGTTTTGCCATAAAGCAGCAGGTATCAATTTCGTTTTCCCATCTTCTCCAGGTTCTTCAAAGTAATGATTAGAGGGAAGAAACTGTTCGAATGTCTATTGTCATTCCCACAGGACTCAAAAGAGAAATCGCTGGATAGGAAAACACAAATTGCTATAGACAAACCCTCCAGCGTTTAAAATCATTCTCACCCCATATTTAAACTAATCCTTTCTCCCACATTATCAGCATCAGCCTCTTGATATAAAAGTTGATGTCAATGAGTCAGGGATGGTGAAATTAAAAAAAAAAATCCTAAAGTCCTGACTCAGGGGCGTGTGTCTTCAGGTCCTCCAGGGAAAGGAGCTGGAGATTAATTTGATCTTCTCTGAAGTGTGTCTGATGCTCTCTCTGAAGAGACAGAGTTTAAGATATCATTACCTATTGCAGTCTTTAGGCTGGCTGAGGGAAGGAAGAAATAATGTCTTAAGTAGCACCTTGAGCAAATTTGATGCCTCACTATTGAGGCACTGCCAAGCAATTCAGAAGAAAAATAATCAATTCATTCCATCTCGTTAATGCTGCCTTGGTAATTTAACAGGTTTCTATCCTTAAAATATCACCAGCTGGACACTGTGCCACTCAATATCTCACCTTCAGAAATGAATTCTCAGGCACAAGACCAATCTAATGCCATCTTCCTCCCTGGGTTCCCCGGGGATCGTCAAGTGAGAGAACACGCAGACTCAGAAAGAAGAATGATAAAATTGCAGAACCACACAACTTCATTTCCTAGATCACAGAGCAGTCGAGGCTATAATCTTCTTCACTAGGACCTCCTCCCAGGTGACTCTTCTAAAAGCAAACAAACACAAACTGGAGACAGATGCCAATAATACTTGTAGATTTCAGAGGGGGAAAATGTCATAAAAATAACCAAATCAATAAATATGGGTTTGATACCATCTAGGCTCTGCTTGTTTATTCATTTACTTCTTTATTCAACATGTACTCATTGCACATGCGCTGTATTCGAGGTATTGTTCTAGGTACGTGAAGATACACAGCTGTATAAGGCTCTGCCTGAGGAAGCCACCCCTCATGGGGAAGCAAAGCAGGCTTCTAAATGGATGGTCATAAAATGATGTGATGAATGGCACACAGGAGGAAGGCAGTAGATGTGACTGCTCTGGGGAAGGAAGAGGAGACGTACCCTGCTTGGTGGAGTGGAGAAGGCTTCAGAGAGGCAAGCTTTTATTGTGCTCTTAACAAATGGTCAAAGGTTTGCCAAGCAGAGAATTAGCATTCCAGGGAGAATCAGCGAGCCTATGTATACCAGAGTGTGATGGGTCCACTCATAGTGAATAGTTAGTATAGCTGAATTATAAGGTGTATAGGAAAGCGTGGTGTGAGGGTAGATTGAAGGTAGGCTGTATAGGATATTCTATGCTGTGTTTATCTTAAAATCAATGGGACTTATTAGAGGGATTTAAGTGAGGATGACATGGTCAAACTTGTGTTTGAGGGAAAAACAAAAGACAGTCATAATTATGATAGGTGAATCAGAGACTACTGGACTGTCCAAATTAGAAGATACCAAACTTCCCCCAGACCAGGGAAGGGTGGAAAGAGAAAAGAGGATGGCTTCGCAAAGCTTCTCTCTTACTGAGTGAGGGAGCAGGGATGAGGCAGAGGGAAAAGCTGATGTTGGCTTCTCGGTTTCTGTTTTGTGCACGTGGGGCTTCACGGGTTCCTTCACCAAGAAAGAGAATGTAAGGAGGAGAACCAGGTTAGACTGGACGTGATAATGAGTTAAGTTTGAGGCATCTTTTAACTGATTCTTATGTAAATAAGTATAGTGAATTAATATAATAGGACCAAACTGGGGAAAATTACTCAGAAAACTTCCCTAAAAAAAGAATGACTTAAAAATATCTATTCAGTTTACTCATTTATTTTGCTAGAAGTTGACTACCTACAGCAGAACACTGGAGCAGTAGCACAGGGTGGAATATAAGATAGACTCATCAAACACTGGTTTAGATTAAAAACAAATGTGTTACTTGTTTAGGTAAAGAAAATCAAGCCCAATGAAGTTAGGTAACTAGTGGAAAATAACAGATATTGTTGGTTCTGGGAATAGGACCTAGTTTCCCCAGCAGCTTATGCAGTACACGGTCCCTGCCATTCTCAAACTCATTGTTGGATCAGAGGAGACTATAAAACTACTCCAGAAATTCTCCACCAAACTCTGCAGATTCTATGACTCTCCCTACTAAGCCCAGGGCACAACTAACTATGAGCCCTGAGAAAGAGACATTCTATTTGAATGATACTTTTCTCCAATTCTATCCAACAAATCATCCTCCTTGTCTCTCTGTCTTGGAAGATTAAATCTAATGCAAAAATTTAATCTTTTATATATTCTATGTTGGCCCTTAAATCTTTGAATATATGAAATATAATTAAAATAACTTGCAATATCCTAGTTTCCTCATTCAAATATCTGTGTCTCTTCTGGTTTGGTTTTGATTGAGTATCCTGCCCATTAAGAGTCATATTTTCCAGCTTCTTTATGTGTCTGGTCATTGTTGATATGATGCCACACATTGTGAATACCACCCTTATTGATACTAGATTTTTTTGTATTTCTATAAATATTCTTGAAATTTGTTCTGAAAAGTAGTTATTTGGAAATAATTTGATCCTTTCAGGTCTTAATTTTCAAGTTTGTTATGCAGGACCACAACAGTATTTGGTCTAGGGCTATTGATTTCTCCCTACTGAGAAATACTGAGTACTCAGACAAATACCCCATAAATTATGAGGTATCCAATCTGGCTAGTGGGAGCAGGCACTATTCCCAGCCTTGTGTGTGTACCAAGTGATTTTCCCTTTGATTTGTGTTATGGGCTGAACTGTGTCTCTGCAAAGATCTTATACTTCTAGCCTCCAGAACTGTGAAGAAATAAATTTCTGTTGTTGAAGCCATTCAGTCTGTGGTATTTGTTATTGCAGCCCTGGGAAACTAATACAGATTCTGGTATCAGGAAATGGGGTGCTGCTATAACAAAATACCTAAAAATGTGGAAGAAACTTTGGAACTGGACAATGGGGAGAGGCTAGAAGAGTTTTGAGGTGCATGTTAGAAAAGGCATAAATTGTCTTAAAGTGATTGTTGGTAGAAATATGGACATTAAAGATGATTTTGATGAAGGCTCAGAAAGAAAAAGAGCTATAGAGAAAGTTTCTATTGTCTTAGAAATATACATACATCATCATGAACAGAATATTGGTAGAAATATGAACCTTAAAGATGCTTCTAGTGAGGTCTTAGAGGGAAATGAGGAACATGTCATTGGAAACTAGAGGAAAGGTGATCCTTGTTATAAAGTGGTAAAGAATGTGGCTGAATTGTGTTCTAGTATTTTATAAAAGTAGAATTTGTAAGTGATGAACTTGGGTATTTAGGTGAGGAGATTTCTAAGCAAAGGGTTGAAGTGCAACCTGGTTTCTCCTTGCTGCTTATAGTAAAATGTAAGAAGAGAGAGAGAAATTGAAGAAGCAATTGTTAGGAACTAGAACTTGAAGACTTGGAAATTCTCAGCCTATCTGTATTGCAAAAATAAGTGAGAAAGCATGTTCTAGAGAGAACATCAACAGAATGACTAGATAACAATTTGCTAAAGAGCTTGTGGGTGTGTGACTTATGGATCCAATTAGCCATCTCATCAGAAGCCAGGAATAGAGATAGGGTTATTCCAGGAAAAAAGCTGCCAGCTTGAACTGAAGGGGACAGAGATGGGATGAAATGAAGGACGGTTGTTGGACTTCTGGGATTCTACGGGATGGGCCAATAGAGCTATCCAGCTGTGGACATGTGTTATCTTTCAAGATAAGAGAAGAATGACCCTGAATGTGGTTCAGAAGTCGGCAGGGCTGCTAGTGCCACCACGGGCCCAGAGGACCCAGGCTGAGGGGTTGGGTTAACCATCTAGGGTCAAAGGAGCTGGGCTCCTTTGACTCTTCCACACTCAGACTGGTGGGTCTGAGAGGTGGCTGCCAACCAGATGGACCAGAGCATAGAGCCAAAAAGGATTATTCTTGAGCCTTAAAATCTTATGGAATTTTCTCTACTAGATTTTGGACTTGCTCAGAACCCACTGCCCCTTTTTTCTTTGCAATTTATCCCTTTTAGAATTGGAATGCCTATCCTATGCCTGTGCCACAATTGTATTTTGGAAGCAGTTAAGTTGTCTGATTTCACATGTTCACAGCTAGAGAGGGATTTTGTCTCAGGATGAATCATACCTGAGTCTCACCCATACCTGATTTAGATGATATTGACATGAGATTTTGGAGTAGATGCTGGAATGAGTTAAAATGTTTGGAGCCGTTGGGATGGGTGACTGTGTTTTGTATGCAAGAAGAACATGAACTTTGGGGGCCAGAGAGTGGAATGTTATGGGCTGAATTGTTTCCCCAAAAATTCATCTGTTGAAGTCCTGATCTACAGTACATCAGAGTTTGACTGTGTTTGGAGACAGGGCCTCTAAAGAGGTAATTAAGTTAAAATGAGGGCAATAGGGTGAGCTCTAATTCAATATGATGAGTGTACTTAAAAGAAGAGGAGACTAGGATGCAGATAGGCATAGAGGGAAGACACAGGGAGAAGACTGCCATCTTCAAGCCCGGGAGAGAAGCCTCAGAAGAAACCAACGCTGCTGACACCTTGATCTTGGACTTCCATCTCCAGAACTGTGAGAAAATAAATTTCTGTGTTTCAAGCTACCCAGTCTGTGGTATTTGTTACAGCAGTCCTAGCAAACTAATACAATTTGCGTTTTTTCCCCATCTTAGGTAGTTTCTTCATATGCGTGTGCTGACAGTGCCCTGTTAAATGCCCTAGGAAAACTCTCTATAGGTCTGCAGAGCTCCATTTCTGTGCAGCTCTCTCCTCTCTGTAGCTCTCCTGTACATGGGTGCTGCCTTATTCTACCTGGACCTTGGGTCCATCTCCTCAACTCAGAGACTCCACTGAGTTTTGCTAGGGTCCCCCACCTTTGTGCTGCAGCCTGGAAACACAAGGCAGTGAGTCTGGGAAACCATATAGTTTGTATCCTTTGTTTCCAGTTTCTCAGGATCACCATCCTTCATTGTTTGATTTCTTGTGCCTTAAACTGTTGCATACATTTCCTCCTTTATGTTTTAGTTGTTGTTCCGGGTGAGAGGTTAAATCGGGTCTCTGTCACTCCAGTTAACGCCTGGTTGGATAGGAGTGAAGAATGAAGCTGAATCGCAACTTCCCTTTCCGGCAGTGCGGCGGACTAGAGAGCGGAAGAAACGCACCCAGCACAGGATGCCAAAAGGCTCTGGGAGACGTTTCCTGTCTAACTTTTAAATTCGTTGTTGCATTGATAAGAAAGGAAAGGAAATTCTCAGAGTCCAGAAACAATGAGAAACATGAATCTAGAGAGATAAGCTGAATAGAAACCACTTTCATCACAAGCTCCATTTTTATCTCGTAGTAAGGTTCCAATGAATGACATACCATATTTTAGAAAATTGCAACGCAGAATTGGAAGGAGCAAGAATCAGTCGAAAAAATAAACAGTAGATTAATATTCACAAATAGAATCAATGTTGGATTTAACATATTCAAAATATAAAATGAGTACATTTATTGTACTTAAGGAGTTAAAAGCTGACCAGAAAAAACAAGAAACAAAAATAACCTGTAGAATATAAAATAATTAAAATAAATAATTAAAATTATTGGAATCAATATATAAAATAATTAAAATTAAAAATACAATGGACATGTTGAACAGCATATTGGATATAACCTAAGAGAATTGGTGAGCTTTATGACAGTTCTAAAGAAATTATCCAGTATTTAGTATAGTGAGGTATAGTTGGGAAAAAAAAGAATAGTTTAAAGATGTAAGAGTAAAAAGATTTGACTTATATGTAACAATAGTCCAAAAATGATAGAATAGAGGGGCATTATTCATAAAATGATGGCTAAATATCTTCCAGTAGAGGAAAAAGGAGATGGAAAATAAGTGAAAAAATTTTCAAAAGTAGAGCATGCGAATTTCCAGATATAAAGTACCTATCTTAAAAGTTACAGTGAAAATGTTAAATTACCAGGTTTAAAGAGAAGAACTCAAAACCTCCAAAGAGAAAATACAGGTTATAAAGAAAGGAGCAAGAGTCAGGGATGGGATTGTGTTTCTCAGTGCAGTACAGGAGGTTAGGAGAAAATGGGTCAATACCTTCAAGTGTTGAGGAAAAATGATTTTCAAAATTGAAGTCTAAAGTCAACCAAACTTAACAATCCAGTATGAAGGTGGAATGGACGCTTTTTCTATGCAAGTTCTCAAAATGTTACCTGTTATTCACCTTCAGGAAGTTAGTAGAAGATATGTTCCGAAATTTAAGAGAATCAGAGGATGAAGCAGACAAAAGATTTGGGAAACAGGTGATTCAACATAGTAGAAAAGCAAAGGGAACTTCCCAGATGAGGGCGAAAGGAAGTGCCAGGGCGCTGCTGTGCTGGGGAGTCCGGGAGAACATGCTCAGACTGCAGCGAGAGTGTAGAAGAGCTCCAGCAGAGGCGTCTGCAAAGGGAAAGAACAAAGAAGGACCTGGTTGAGTACAAGGTGTCTTCGCCCTTCTGAGATGTGTTTTCAAGTTCTTCTGGAGCAGTGGTTCTCAACAAGGGTGATTTGGTTCCTCAGGGGACATTTCATAATGACTGGAAGCAGTTTTTGCTTTTTGCAGCTGGAGGAGGTGCTATTGGCATCTAGTGGGATGAAGCCAGTGACGCAGCTGAGCGTCCTGCACGGCCTAGGACAGCCTCCTGCCCTTTCCCCCCCAGCAAAGAGCTAGCAGACAGAAATGGCAATAGTCTCAAGGTTGGAAACCCTGTCCTGGAGAATTTAAAACAAAAATTTTAGGTGAGGCTATTTTAACTCCAAGAAAAAAATGAACAAGGGAAGAAATCACATATACTATGCTGTTCAAACATGAGCAATATTTAAGACAATGGTGTTCTATTTTGGAAAAGTTAGGAAACAGAAGTGGTGAGAGAAAGGAAGCAAAAGAGTAATAAATTTTTATCTTTCTTAGTTGGAAGACAGTAGATAATGCCTAAAACTGCCAAATATACAAATGGAACTATAAGTAACTTATATAGGTAGCTGGTAGTGAAAATAACTGAGAGTATTGACTATTTAGTGTTTAATGAATGGGAACCAGGAATGGGAAAATATGGGGCAAAGTCTCCTGTTTTTCATTATAAATCTTGAAATATTATTTGATATTTTAAACTACATGTATTTTTTTATGAAAATATTTTTAAAGGAGGTAAAACAGCTATCCATCATAAGACCCATTAATCAAGAAATTAGAGTTCTGGTTCATATAAATGAGTAAATAACTTAGACGATTTTGATGAAAATTTAATATCTTTATTTTCTGATTGATACACCAAGAGATGCAATTTTTCTGACCTTCACTATAATTTTTTTCCCATTATTTCTAGTGGGTTTCCCCTAGTGGAGAATTCAGGCAGGGCAGGCTGAGGGGAGTGTGTCCAGTGGTTGATTCAGCGAGCACCAAGACGGTCCCATCATCTTCCCTACGTGTTGCCAGAAGGACAATGTAAAATTGTGACTGAGAGACAAGACTGAGGCTGATCCAAAAAGGCATGTGTAAAGTGGGTCTTGAAACTGCAATAGAGGAAGCATGAAGAGTGCACATATTGAAATCAACTGGAATTGGAAAGCAAGGCAATTTGGAGAGAATTGGCTAGAATGAGTGGAAGAGGATGTGGTCTGGAATAATTCTAGAGATGGGAGCCCATGTCTGCCGCTAGGCTCATATGAATTCTCCATATACGTTGGCGTGGGAGAGTCCATCCATTAAAGAGCACGGGACGGAAAAGAACATCAGACCGTCATATGAAGGGAGGAATCAAAAATTGAACAAATACACATGCACATACCACCAGAAACACAGAGCTAAATTGTTCTCTTATTTTGAAATTCAATGCACGGCCTCTGTGAGCAGCCCAAATAAATGAACTAGATGAGATTACTAGTCTGCAAGCAATCAAAACAAAACAAGTAATCCCGCCATGCTGCAATGCTGAAACCGCATCACTGGATGACAGCATCTCTGGGAATCTGACTGACTTGACAAAACATCCTGTTTTTGACTAAGAAATCTAGCCCCGAGGGCTTGTTTTTCTGAGTGATGGGTTTTACTTATCTCTTTGCTTTAAGATGCACTGCTGATGTAGGACTGTTATAATCAAGTCTTCAATAATAACAAGGATTTTTTTTAAGTGATTGAGTATTTTAATTAGATGTGGTGATTAGACTATCTTGCATTACTTTACAATACTTAGAAGATGATAGTGCAATTTTCCTTTTATCACTAAATATTTTTATTAGTGAATTCAAAGGATGTAAACATGCATAAGACAAGTTGAGATGGTTTTTAGAGGAGGAATAGCTATGTCACAAGGAAAATTTTAAAATCCACTAAGCTAATGATGTCAATACTTGCATTCATGTGGTTAAAATCCTTTCCTTTTTCACACCCAAATTTTTCATCTATACATATGTAGTTTATAATTTTTTTTCCTTAGTCACAAGATGTACAAAGGTTTTCCTTAGGGCAGTTTCATTTGGGCGAGATATTAAAAGTAGAAGAAATAGAAATTTTGTTTTAGTTTAGTTTGTTTGTTTATAAAGCCAGCGATAGCAAAGGAAATTCCAGTATTTGTAATGGTAACCAGAGTGTGGTTGGAAAGGCCAGGACAGGGTCAGCAATACCCTTTGGTGCTGAGTAGGTTTGGGTTGGCTTGGGAAGTGGGAATGGCTTGGGAAGTGGGAATGGCTTGGGAAGTGGGAATGTATCTGAGAGGAAGGACAAAAGATATTTTAAGTCATCCTTATTCACAAGGCACTTATATCAGCTTGGTAATAAAGACTAATATGTCAAGAAAAAAACCCTGTGTTAAGTGACAAGCAATCTCAAATAGACTAGGAGCATAGAGTGAGCTATCTCCCATGTGAGCATATATGGGTTTGAACCTAAAGGACTTTGTGAAAGACTATCTTTCAGGCTCTAAATTTTGGTTATTGCGAGGAAGAGAAAATAAAGGAGGCAAGAAGATTATTAAATTCCTCTAAATTGCATAATTTACTAGTTAAAATCAATGGAGATTAATTTTTGTAATTTAAAAAAATATGTGTTTTTAAGATAGGAAAATGAGCGATGCCTGATTTGCAGTCTCGGTTCTCAGCATAGCAAATGGCCTGTCTGGGATCCTAGAGCAGAGTCAGAACCAGAATAAATAATCTTCTTCCATAACAAGGGCATCGCATTCTCGTCCTCTGCTGACACAGAAGGTGGATCGCTGAGTGCGTTTTCAGCCCCACTTCCCGCCTCTTTCCTGAGTAGAAAGCTACTCAGAGTTCCCAGTCCACCGTGTGTGCTACTGGAGAAGCACTTAGGATGAAGACACTTGGTCATTGTTTACTTAAATATGGCTTCTGTATTGAGTATTTAGTATGAGAGAAAAATCCTGGTTTGAAAATAAGAACTTGGGAGGACACTAAGAATACTTAGTAGGGAGGATTTTACATGCAATTGGTGTGGAATTTTTGGCTTGTCTTTTTTCTCAGTTTTTCATCATTTAATTTTGAATGAGAATAACCTGTTCCCCTGCTATAACATTCAACTACACAGCAACACTCATTTGTAGAACACAGTAGTAGATCTGATTTAGACATATAGCAAAACACCGACTCTCACTTTGGGTGATATGTCTCTTTAATTAAATTTACATAGAAACTACCAAAATAATTCTCACTAATTCCTGTCCATGACAACCTAACATCCTTGGTCTTTACCATTAAGAATATACACTAGATACAGAAAATGCAACAGTGTTTCTTCCCCAGGTTTAGTGTATGAACACTTAGGAATTGAGATTCACAGAAGGCTGCTTACAGTAACACATTTACAGATACTTATTTGCATCTTTTTGTGTCACTGACTAGAAGGTTTATGTCAATAAAATAGCCAGAACTAGCCAGTTGCTTTTCTCTCTCTCTCCTGTCTATCTATCTATCTACCTATCTCTTAACTGATTCTATAAAAATCTAGCTTTCAAATGCTGTTAAGCCATCAGCAAATATTTAATTGGGACCTACTGTGTGCCCAGCCCTTCAAGATAGTATTAAATATATATGATAAATATAAAAAAAATAATTCTTAGCCATCTATTTAGATTGTGAAGACAAGATTTACCAGTAAATAATATAAAAGTATTGTATGCCATTCAAAGCTGGATGATAAGGCACAGAATATAGTGTTATATAACCCAAATATTCCAAGTGTCTCCATACTGTGACTTCAAAATAGCAGCAGAAAAATGAAGTCACCCTGACTGCAGGCTCTGCAGTAACACGGCCTGAGTTAGACTTCTGGGCTCTGACACATTCTAGGGGAATATTCTTGGGCCATTCCTGGACCTCTCGGTGCTTCCTTATGATCTGCAGTCGCAGATATTATTCTCACCTCTAAATGTCCTCCAGTCACTTGCAGGAGTCCCAAAGGGGCTTCTCCCTTGAGTTCAACAAATCACAGCGTTCGCTTCATCACACCTATTTGCCTGCGCAGGCTGGTGCTTGCTTGTGTCTGCTGTCTCATCCCTTCTGCTTGCACTATCAATGCCCCTTCTCTAGATCATTCAAACTTAATATTATCAGGCTGCCTCTGCTAGGTACTCTCCATTTGCCCCCCAGATTCACTTTCTACCCTTTTCTGCCCAAGGATGCTGACTATTAGGGGTTGCAGCAGTGAAAATTTTTTTCCTCTGGCTTCCTTTTGGGTTTGTCTGATAGGAGACAACAGGCAGGAATTTAGAGAGAGAGAAGCGTGGCTGGGATTTTTATTCCCCTGATCCTTCCACACAGGGCTGTGGGTTGGAAGTTGCTGTGCTTCACTACCAACGTGCAGCATTTCCTACAGCAGTAATTGTCTCTCTCTCTTTCCTAGTAATAAGTTCTCCCTCATTCCCCCTCAGACTCAGGATAGTAAGGCCTGTCTGCTGCTGATAGTCTTGGGGTGCTTTGCTGTGCTTTCTGAAACTCCTGAAACCATAATCACACCTTTTTAGAAAATTGCAAATTCTCCTCCTGCTCCCCCTTTCCTTAACACTCATCAGTTATCCCCATTTGAAGGTGGCATCTGTGATCTGCCTGGACCCTGATGGCTACAATGTCAAAACTCTGCTGAGTTTCACGCGGAGGTGGGAAGAATCTTCCCCCTCTTTCCCCATTTGGTGCCATATGCAATTTCATGGGCCCTAAGTAGATCAGCTTATATCCAGTTAAGTCAAATAGTTACATCAAATCTCATGAAACTCAGTTCCCTACAATCTTAGGAAAGAGGAAAGAAAAAAAAAAAGAAATCATTCTCTCCATCCTTCTCACTAGACCCTACTCCTATTCACAACATCCCTTCCAGGCATAAAATATGGGTAGAAAGAGACATGGCTGAAAGGGTCTGAGGAAGGAAGGCTTGGTTTCGAGAGTATTCACTTATCCAAGCAAAACAGTCTCAGTTCCAATCATAGACGTGTGGGGGGTGGAGGGAGAAGGTTGGGGGAAAGTAAGAAACTCGTAATTACAAAGATTGGACTAATCAGGAAAGCTTTTATGGATGGGATGAGATCAACTTCACCTTAACAGAGAAAAAGAATTTGGGATACATTAATGAGCTTAGAGTTCATTTCAGGGAAAGGTAATATTTGTGCAAAGATAATGAGGTAGAACATTAATAGCTTGTGGGCAGCAGGTACTGGGGAGCAAGGAAAGATGGGATTGAATGGATAGCTGAAGCCACTTGATAGAAGAGCTTGAAAACTAGGCAGAAATATTTAAATTAGATGGAGTTAGCAGTGCAAAGAAATTCACTGGGATGAATTCTGTTCTAGCAATTTTGGTTAATTTAACAGGATTTTGGAGCTGTGATGGTGTGATCCTCAGAACAACCTTAGACTTTCAGGAAGATGTGGAAACCAATAGCAGCCAAGCCAGTTCTTCCATAATGGCCCATGTGGAGATCTTGAATGATTTCCACAGTTAAGGGAGTCTTACAGAGAGTTATGGCACTTTGCTTAATCTCTGCTCAGTAGAGGAGATATGACAGATAAATAGGCCTTGGACACAATTCTGCACTTACAAACTGCAAAGCTGTCAAAGTGTACAGAAACTCACCCATAAGTGGTTGCCACACAGGAAAGTGCCCCTAATTTCCATTTCTTGAAAAATGAGTCAGTAATAATTCTTTAGGCCCATGTTACGTCTATTATGACAGATTGTTTGATTTTCAGTCTAAAAGAACCAATAATTCAGAAAAGGGCAAAGAGATGAAAATGACCGGAATCGGCCGCAAAGTCCATTTGGAATGGACTCCACTTAGATTATAGTCATAAAGTGGTCTATGCTATGCTTTTTGATCATCTAAATGGTCTGCTTAGGACTTTTTATCTCATAGAGAAAGGTAAGAAATA